ACCAACTCATCCTCAGCTCAACCAACCTTAGAGAGAAGAGACATCAAGACACAATGGGAAGAAGGCTGGGAACTGTGTCCTGAACTTGCCGCTCCATGAGAATTTTCTGCATGTTCTCTGTGTAGCAGGCCCTGGGCCAGGCACTTGGGGATTGTTTATCAAGAAGACACGCCCCTGTCTTTGTGACGCTCAGACTCTGGCTGGCAAAGACGCTGAGAATCCATGTGCCGGTCCAGCGATGGAGGCTGGGATGTGCTGAAAAGAAAGCACCACCTTTGCAGCCTGACAGCCCATCTAAATCCCAGCTGCTCCAACTGGGACATCTTGGGCAAGCTCTAGAACAGTGACAGTGAACCTATTAGAAACCGAGTACCGAAACTGCAACCCAAAACCCATTTATTTATCGCCAAGAGCCAACACTGCAATTAAACCTGAATACTGAGGTTTCAGTTTAGAAAAAAATCAACTGCTATCTGATGCTCTGCTGCTGGGGTGACTCAGCCCATGTACCAACGAGAGGGCTCTGCGTGCCTGCTGTGGCACACGGGCCGCAGGTTCACCACCACTCCTCTAGAACTTCTCTGAGGATCAGTTTTCTTCTAAAAATGGAGATGACCATCTGCTTCCTCTGTTTGCTGTGAAAGTAGTCAGATAAACTGTGACAGTGTTGCTGTGATGCCTGACCCATGAAAGGCCACGGATGATAAAGAAGCCCACACACACACACACACACACACACACACACACACACACACATGCCAACTTCATCAAAGGAACTGCTGTTAGAGCATCAAGAAGGCTTCCTGGCACCTTCTGGCTCCGTAAAATAGAGGTCTACACTCAGTTTGCAATGTCTGCGCACAGGTGAAAGAGGTGGTGGCACATAGGCCACCACCGAGTCCAGGGGATGCTGGACTCCATCTGAGTGGGCCAGCTTCCAGGCTTGAAGCTTTGGGCCAGTACTCAGAGTGGGAAAAATCAGCCATACCGAGCTGAAGCCACGTATCACACAGGCAGCGCAATGGGACCCCACCCAGGAAGAACATCAGCAAAGCCTCCCTTGGCTGCCAAGAGCACCCCCTGCCTCACCTGCGTGTACAGGTAGAAAAACACAGCACCTTGGCAAGCTAGACAGCCCGAGGGCAATCATCCCGGTCAGCACAAAAGATACAGAAAAGCCCGTTTCAAATCTGTCTCCTAGAGCCAAACCAGTCCAAGAATGGGGAGCCTGAGCTTGACAAAGGTGACAAAACTCACTTCTTTCTTTCCATTTTCCGTAGAACTCTCTGCCAGTCTATTCAAACTATCCCCTTTCTCCTCCTCCTCCTTCTTCCCACAGCATCTCCTCTCCTCTTCCTCCTTCTGGACAAACAGTGAGGAGGACACAGTGCAGGTCTCCCCAGGAAGTCCTGGTCACAGGGACAGGCAGCACCTGCATCCACCCATCCCTCCCCAGGCTAGGTGGGTAGAGCTGGGCACCCCAGAGCTCAAGGGAAGCAGACAAGGCAGGCCTTTTCAGACCTCACTGTATGCCAGGCACCTGTGTGTCACTGATCTATGTCATGCGGCTGACACAGGGTTGCCAGGGGGGCTTCATTAGCAACTCTTGGACGTGCAGCATGCTGAGCTCCAGAGGGGGAAGTGACTTTCCCAAGGTGAGGCAGCTAGGATCAGGGAGAAAGCTCCATTGCTCCAGCTTTGCCCAAACTGCTGAGCTCCCTCTGCTCCAAAATATGGCTGAAGGAGAGATAGGTGTGACTTGTGTGAATGGAGAGCAGCCAGGGTGGTCCCCCTGGGAGGCGGAGGGTCTCCCCAAGGGGTTCAGGAGGGGCAGTATGTCCACCTGGAGGGTATGGCCTGGCACATAGGTAGTGCTTAAGCAATGCCACTGAATGAATTGTTACATATTAAAAGGCATCAGGACCCATTCATTAACTGGCTGTACAAACAGAAGCTAAGTGCCTTTACTCCCACATTAACTGTACGCTCAACAGGTTCATGCCTTTATTGAATGCTCAGTGTCAGCCCCTATTCCAGGTTCTGGGGAGAGAAGGAAGGCTCAAATTTCCTGCCCTCATAGTGCTAACAATTTGATATATGGAGACCAAAGAAGGGATGTCCATAAATTCAGATGTGCATGAAATAATTTCAGACAGCCGTACCTGCTATGGTGGTCAGAGAGTCATACTGAAGAGACTAAATTGAGATAAATTCTGACCAAAGGAAAATAAACAGCCACTCAAAGATAAGAGGAAGTGACATTTCAGAAAGGCAAGAGGAGTAGGTGCAAAGACCCTGCAGTAGAACACCATATTCGTCCAAAGGTGTTTATGAGCTGGGGTTAACAAATGAGGGAGAAATGGTAACAGTGGAGGAAGAAGGTATGGAAAATCACGCTCCTTTCAGGGGCTGCCTGCCAGGGTACACACCAGCTAAGTAACTGTTTCCATGCAGTTGAGGGATAAACCTATAGTGGTCAGCTAGGCCTTGGTCATGGCAGACCTTGTATACCAAGCCAAAGAAATTGAACTTCAACCTGAAGGTGAGAAAAGATATCACAGTCAGGATGAAGACAAAAATATGAGAGAGAGAGACAGACAGAGACAGAGAGAAAGAGAGAGACAGAGACAGAGACAGAGACACAGAGAGGTCATTCCAAGGCAGAGAGGAGAGAAGGCAAAGGACAGGCTTAGGAGGGACACACATAGGAAGCCATTACAATTGTCCCAGAGAGGAAGTGAGGGGCTTGACTTGGAGCAGCTGACAGACAGGAAGGAGGGACACTTTCCAGAGATATTAAGAAGGTAAAATGGGCAGCGATTCAATAATTTGAATGTGGGGTGAGAGTGATACATAAGCAAGGAGACACTAGGATGATGCCTGGTCACTCTAACTGACCCAAGCACCTCTCTTAGGAATGGGGCCCTGGGCCTAGCACTGTCAGGCTTCCCCTCTCTGTTGGGCCTGTTCATTGTTTAACCCCCACCACAGGTGAGGCCTTCCTGGCTGGGTCAGGCCACGTGCCCCTGGAGAGTCCTTTTCCTTCTCCACTTGCTCCTGCTCAATCCCCCAGCCAAGGCCTTCAGGGTCCCTTGGCCAGGCCTGACCCTGACCCAGCCCTGACTTGCAGAGTCTAAGATCATCATGCCAGCCTAGAGCCTCCTTTTATCTGCTCTCCCTTTGGGCCTAAAAGCCTCAGGTCTCCTCCTCCTGGGCTCCTTTCCCAGACATGCTGAATGGGACCCAGTGGAGCCATCAGGTGCCTCAGGCCCAGAAGCCTGAAGATGAGGCAGAGAGCACAGATCACTCAAAGATGAATGGGCCCTGGATCTCTGCCCAGGTGACTCACAGCAGCAATCCCTTAAAAAGTACAGTGACAGAGAGCATTCGTGGAGTCATACTGACCCAGGTGCAGATGTACCTCATCTCCCTCTCCGTCTCTTTATCTATAGAACAAGGATAATAAAGGTATGTCTATCATAGTTATTGCTCTAGGATCTAGATTAAATAATGTGTGGCACATAGTAGGCACACAGTGTTTGTAGGCACACATTAGACAGCAGTCACTCTCTACCTGTTTTAAATGATCCATTAGTCATTGATGTTCCTTCTCTTACCATTCTTTCATCTCTTACCGGTCTTTCACCCTTGCTCACATGTATGAGTGGCTTTCACATTTTGTCATCCCCTTGACCAGAAGAACAGTGGGAAGAACACCAACTGTAGATGTTTGGTCATGCTTTGATGTCATTCAGAGATCACAAGGCAGTTGTGGGGACAGGGGTGATGGGTGACATGGTAGCATCACCCCTAAGAGTCACCAGCCATGGCACAACCAACAGTTCAGTATGTACAGGGTTCTATAAAGCCTTTCCAGAAAAAGCCACTGTCCAAACTCAACACTCTGCCTGCTCATGCATCACCTCATCGCCATGAAAGCTGCTCTCGCAGCTGTCTCCCACCCCCACTGTGACCCAGAGACTCTGCCCACCTTCCTCCTTCGGACACAGGCATCCCAGGTGAACAGACACCGGGCTGCCTGTCGGTGGGGGACAGCTCTGCCTTCTTCCAAACTTCCCACACAGAGAAAGGCAGCCAGCTGCACTAGCTGTGCATTCTGTGGTCTGAAAACCACAAAAACCACACCCCATGCCCACGCCTCCTAGCAGTGGCCTTCCTGGGAAGTGACACACCATCACAGTGAGTGACAATTGAATCTCTACCTCTAGAGGGCACTGTGGAGCAGGGTAGTAGAAGCCTCTGAAGTAGGTCATCTGGGTCATAGCCTAGCATGTACCAGAGGGAGGGCCAAAGCACCATGGACACCATTTGCCAGCAGAGCCAAAGAAATACATGTCCCAAGGATCTTTCTAAACAAGTGAGAGGTACCAAACACCAGACCCAATTAGAGTTACCAGGTAAAATATAGGATGTTCCAGTTACATTTGAATTTAGTATACAGGAGTAATTTTTTTTTTTTTTTTTTGCAGTACTGACAATTGAACCTAGGACCTTTGCACTGAAATACTCTCAGCTGATATTTTAGTTTTTATTTCGAGACAGTGTCTCACACCAAGTTGTCCTGGCTGGGCTCAAACTTGTAGTCCTCTTGTCCCAGCCTTCCAGAGTGCAGAGATTATAGGCATGTGCCACCATGTCCAGCTACAAGTGATTTTTAAATGTAACTGTGCTGCATACAATACTGGGAAAACACAACTAAAATTATTCAAAAACTTAAATTTAAATAGGACATCCCATTTTGTTATTCTTGTTGTTTGTTTGTTTAGCTTGCTTGTTTTGCTAAATCTGGCAACCCTAGACCAAAATGTCACCAGGTATAGGCAAGGAAGGCACTGACCGCCTGCCCAAAGTCACCGGCAGTGGAGGCAAGCTTCCCATGGTAGGGCTCATGGCATGCACCTGATGCCCACCTCCAGATGAGATGAGGACACAATAAGAGACTTTTAATTCAGCATCTGCAGACATACTGCTGAGAACCATGCTTGTGTTAAACTATATTTTATTAACTGGTTTGTCTTCCCAAGTCTGGGCCACATTTCCCAGACTGCTGTGCATGGCCTGGTCCATCCAGAGGGGTCCTAGAAGTCACAGCCATCCACCCAGTCGCTCAGGTCCTTGCCCTGGCAGTGGCGCCTCCAGGTCTCCCTGAGGACAGGAAACAAGCAGAGACCACGTAAGCTGCAAGCCCCAGGCACTGCTCAGAGACACTGCTGAGAGCAGGAAGGAGACACTGGCTCTAAATCAGGAAGGAGGCAAGGGGAGAGGCCAGGGAGGGGAGAGGGACAACCAAGCAAGGAAGCTTCTAGAGAAAAGAGAATGTAAAGGAAGAGAATGGCCTCTAAAAATTGAATATCTAGCTTCCCTCTTTGCTCAGTTCACCTACACATCACTGGCAAAGATCTGGAGCCTGGAGCTCAGGTGTGAGGCTGTCTTCCTACTCCCTCATGTTTCGGTGACAGTGACACCACATTACATGTGTACAGCCCTTTGTAGTACACGTAGCACCAGCACTTCCACCCCCCACTTATCACCACCACTTTTCCTGTCCCCAGCATCCCTATTAGGTAGATTGGGCAGATATTATGCTCCAATTTTCCAAATGAAAAACTCATCCTGAGGTGCAAAATACTTACCCCAAGTCCACAGGTAGTGAATGACAGAACTGCGTCCACACCCAACCCGCCCTGCCTGCCAGCTGGGTCTTTCCATTAATGGTTACTATTGTTTATACTCTCTCCCAGGACCATTACCTTGTTCCAGCTCACAGCTGATATTTGAGAAGATAAGCAAGCCCTCTTCCATGTCCTGGGACCACTTCCTGTGTTTAGCCCTAGCCACCTCTCAGGGGTTCTCATGCCAGAAATTTACTCCCAGTGTGTACATATTTTCTTATTGCATATTAATTGTATAAAATATTGAGTTTCAGTGTGGTATTTTCATACATGCACATAACATCCTTTATCATATCCATCCCATTACTCTCCCTTATATTTTCTTGCTCCCTCCCCTTTATTTGCTTGCTTTTGGCTAAAAATGGCCACCTTTCTACTTTTATATCTTCCTTTTTTTTTTAGATTCCACATATTAGAGAAAACATGTAGTACTTGACTTTCCAAGTCTGATTTATTTTAATTAACGGGATGTACTCCAGTTCCATTTTCCTGCAAATGACATGTCATTCTCCTTTAAGACTGAATCCTTCCTGATGTTAGAGACATGCATTGTGTCCTGCAGAGCTTGTTGGAGCCGAATCCGTTCCTTTAACAGTTCTTTAACAAGGCCCGTCTCCAAACCCTCTCTAGATTCATAATCACTCGCACCTCTTCCTCTGCCTCCTGGGTTGCATCTCACCTGTCCCTATTCCCTTCCAACAGTCCGTCGTGCGCAACTCCCCCCATGCCCATCACCTGTACATCTGTCTCTATATCTCTCCCTGAGACTCCTGCAAAGGCACTGAAGCAGTCTCCCCCAACTCTGCCTCTGTTGTGTCCTCCTTCCTTCCACTCTTGGGCCAGTGTGCAGTGGTCCCAAGTTTCCTTCCCAGTCTTATCATCTGTCACATCTGTCCATGGTCCTGATCCTCCAGTCCCTGAGACACTGCCCCCAGCCTGCTGTTTTCTCATCCAAAAGTGTGAGTGTAAGGAAACTAGAAATCTCCCACCAAAGGAAGCTGGGCAGCTGTGGGACACAGCTGAGAGGCACCTGTGGGAACCAATTTCTCATCCATGGCCTCATGCAATGCTCATCCAACTCTCTCACCAATTCCATGGCCACCTTGTGGGAGGAAATGGGAAGAGAAGATGGAAAGTAGGAGCTCCAAGCCCCACCTCTGCTTCAAGCAGAGAACCTCTTCTTTCATATTTTATACATCTGGGCATTATATAAAATTTAGTTTTTATATCAAAGATGCCACAGGTTAAAAAGTACACAGAGAGTCTTCTTAGATCCTGATCTAGAGAACCTTTAAGCAGACATCATAGAACAGGGAAATCTTGGAGAAGCCAAGCTCAGCTGTACAGCCAAATGACCACCCACGAACTGCTTGTCTTCTCTGAAACTCTGTGCCACCTGTAGACACATCAGTGGTGGTGAGTCCTACCACACAGGTAGCTGTCAAGGACAAGGAATGGTGCCTAGGACAAAGTGGGTGCTTGCTGAAGGCTAGCTCCCTGCAACTAACTGCCAGTTCTGTCCACACATCTTTGGAGAAAGGGCTCCATCCCAAGTTACTTACCAGTAGCCCAGACCCTGGGGCTCTTGGACAATCTTCATGGCACAGATAACAGTATCCTTGAGGTTAGGGTTCAACAAGTCTAGGGTGGGAGAGAAAGAAACATAATAAGGGAGAAAGGGGCAGAGCTAGACATCCAGAGTGTTTCTCTCTCCCTCTCTCTCCCTCTCTATCTCTCTCCCCTTCTTCCTCCTCCTCTTCCTCTTCCTGCTCCTCCTCCTCCCTCCTCCACTCCTCTCCCAATCTCTGAAACACAGGTACTCCCCTATCCCTCTCCTCACTCCGTCCTATAGCTCTAGGGCCCGCCTCCCAGGGGGGACCCCACTATCAGGCTCACGGAGTACCCACTCTCATTGCTGCTGCATATCTGACTCCTGGGGGACCTGCTGCCAGACATAAAGTCAGGTGGAACAAAATGAACTGAGAACAAGCCCACACTGGTATAAGGCCCAACCCCAGCCAGCCCAAGGCACAGGCCCATCCTACCAGAGCAATACACCCGGCAATGGTTTTGGGAGTCCGGGATGAGGTTTTTGCACCACCTCCTGCTGTTGATCTGGAAGATGCCATTGTTGGTGCTTCCATCTGCCTCATGGTCCACAGCACCCGTGTTGAAGCCACTTGTGAAGTAAGCAAGGCAGACCCCTGTGTGGGCAGACATGGGCCTGATGTCAGATGGCCAGGCCACTGCAGATCAGAGTGCTCACAGCACAGGTCCCACATACTGGGCTCCCGGCCTCACCCACCTCAAAGCGACCAGGGCAGATGCCCCCCTACCTGCTCTAAAAATGGATCAACCAAGGTTCAAGCAGGTAAAGTGACTTGCCCAAGATCACATACAGCTACCACACAGCAGGAATCAGGGCCAGAGCTCAGGTCTTAGAATTCTTAGAACTCTTAGGCTAGCAGTTTTCACACTTTCTCGGCACACAGTAGGGCCCAATGTGTTTGTCAAGTTAATTTACCAGAACTGGATCTTTAGAGGCATGACTAGGAAGACAGGATGGGATGTACAAAGGGGACTGAAAAAAATGTGGCCAGATGTGACTACACTTCACAGACAGCTTCCCAAATCTGCCACCACCTTGAAAAGTTTGGTAGTACTGACTTGTTCAGTTTGCGCTTTTTTTTTTGGTACCGGGAGTCAAACTCAGGACCTCGTGCTTGCCAGGCAGGCACCCACTGAGTTACATTCCTGGCCTCCTTTCTAAATTTCAGTATGGATGTCTCCTCCTGATGGCCATGATTAAGTTTATTGGGCTAAACTGGTCTGTTCTTTGACTCCTGGCTTTGCCATTGGAGGAAAATGAAGGGAGAGTTACAACGTGGCCCCTGTTGCCTGCCTACTGCTGGGCCTCCTCTATCATCTCATTGACGCCTGGTTTTAAAACTTCAAAAAGCTCCCCTTGAAGCCCACACCCCTTGAACAAGGAGGAGGGAGAAAGGGGGTGGAGGGAGAGAGGAGCCAGAGGCCATAGCCAGCAAGGGAAAAGTGTTCTCACAGTCAGCCAGACTGTATCCCCGGTAGCCGTCCAGGCCAAAGTCCCGAAGCGCTCTGACCAGCTCACAACGACTGTAGACCTTGGCCTCACTGGAGGTGAGCAGACAGCTGAGCAGGGAGGCGAGAACCAGCAACGTCATCACAGGTGGGCACAGCCGACTTCTGGGAGTCCAGTTCCTTCTGATTTCCATATAGGTGGCAGAGATGAAGCCCCAGCTACCCAGGCTCAGAGCTGAGCTTTAGCTCACCAGCCCTGGTTGTCCACTCACAGGCAGTTACTCCTTGGAAGAAGAAAGGACAGGTATCTGAGTGTACCCCTGGGAAAAGGAAGAGGGCATGGACAGAAGCTTCCAACAGAGCACCTCAGCTCCCTTACATCCCCCATGAAACACCAGCCATACTCCTAAGACCCTGGAGAGGGTCCCTGAGACCCATCCCCCTCCTTTGCAACCTTACCCAACTCCACCATGGCCTAGCAGCTGAGGAAAGAGGAAAGAAATGAGGGAGAAAAATCACAACTTGAGCTCCATACTGCACACTAGGCATTATTTGTCCCAACGCCCAAGATTTGACAAGTAGGAAGTGTCACAGTTTGGACTAAGACCAAAGCTGATGTGAATCCAAGGCCCCACTGAGGTGTGGCCCTTAGCAGATACTCCAGAGGCAATGGCTGGGCAATCTCATTGGTATAAATACATCTCTAAGCCCAACTGCCAAGGGACCTCCTTTCTAGTACTGAGCATTGATCTCCTGATGTTAAGTGACATCACCACCCTGAGCTCTCTCACATGGAAAACCCTCTTCCTCCCACACACAGACCCCTGGAAGTCCTGAAAGTCTCCATCCCTACCACCACTCTAAAACATCACTTTGCAAAAGCCCTTCTTCTTAGAAGCTCCCCCATCCTGTTGCTTTGCCCTCCATCCTCTCCAATACCATGGAGGACCTTAGCTCCTGCTGATCTTAACCTCCTGGCTCCTTCACCTCTCCACGCCCCCTGATATTCACCTCCATGCTGCCCCAGTTATCCATTCCATGGCCTTGCTGTCCCCGTATCTTTCATCACCTGAAGTTTCCCCATCTTTGCAGCCTCCTGTTCTAATCTCTGACCTCGCCTTCTATCATATCTTCCCACCTCTTTCACAACCTCTGCCCGCCACACCTGCTCTCCACCTTCAGAGTCAACACGGGAAACAATTGCACACCCTGAAAGTGGATGTCCCTGCTCTCCAACCCCTCTACAAATGTCACTCAGGGTGACAAAGTGGCTAGTGCTGTGACTCTACAGTGGGTTTGAAGCCCATCTCTGTCCTTTAGTACATATCAGACTTTGGACCCTCTCCAAGCCTCATTTTCTTTACCTATAAAGTCAGGACACTGATAAGACCTGCCTCACAAGAGTGTTAGGGGAATAAATGAGAAAAGGCATGAAAGAACTTAGCTCTTCACATTAAAAATAGACTAGCTGTTATTTCTATTGTGAACCAAAACGAGCGCTGGCATTAATGCTTCTGTGTGGTCAGCGTTCTCCTATCTCCCTCAAAAGGAGTTTGAAACCTTCATTACTGTCCTTGAACACCAAATGGGGTTCTGCCCCACCCCCTTTACTCCCAGATGACCACCCTACCTCCTGCTGTGCTGAAAAAAGCAGGAAGATCACATGCAGAATTCCTTCTTCCTGCCTTAGCCCTACCGCACTGAAAACTGGTCCGATCCCTCATGCACCCCATCACCAGCACCCTAGGGTGAGGATAAGGTGGCTTCATGCATATCTGGGCCTATCTTCCCACCAGGCTCTAGATTTCATCCTTTCCTGTCTGCCAGTTCTCCTCCTCTAGCCTCACCAGGACCTCGCTCCTGCCTGCTCCTCCTTGCCCTGTGTGGGCATCATGCTTGGTTAAGGCTGCAGCTCTTACACACCTTCCTGAGAGTATTACTCTCATCTATGCTGACTGATCTCTTCCCCACTCTTCTCATCCAAACTTCTGGGGAGGGGGAAATTACTCCTTTCTCATCTCCCAGTTCTTCCCAGTGACACTGAATTCCTCACCATCACCACTCGCCTAAAACTGCTCTTTCCCAGCCAGTGGACCCCTGCAGATCTCATCGTATAGGGGTCCTCAGCAGCACTTCACACTGCTGACCATTCCTCTGTTGAAACCCTTGTCTCTCTTGGTTCCTAGACTGGCCTCCTGCCCTGGCTCTTTCTTATTCTTCTTTGTGGATTTTGCTTCTACCCAGACTTTAAAAGCTGGGGTGATTTCCAGGTCTTTCTACCATGGGCCTTCATCTCTTCCACTTCAGGAGACTCTCTGGCAATCCCACTGTCAACCTGACCTGCAGTGAGACAACCTTCCATCCTCTCTCCCTGAGACCTCAGAGGCAACTGGCTCTCTTCCCCTTGGCTACCCCACAGTCCCCTCAAACTAAGACATTGAAAACAGAATGAATGTTCCCCAAAACCTTCTCTTTCTGTGTCTTCTCTTCCTTGGTTTACATTACAGCCACCCCTTTGCCCAAAAAACATATATGGCTGTTCTCCTTTGCTTCTCCTTCTCCATTACTGCATCCTTCACCCCTTCCCCTGCCAACCGATCCCAAAGTCCTATTGACTCTATCTCTCTCCAACAGCACTGTTTTTCCTGAAGTTCAAACCACCATCCTGGCTTCCTAATGAAAGCTCCTCATACCCAGCCTTGAGCCCTCCCTCCCAACTCTTCTGCACACGTGCACCAGAACGAATGTTGTAAGTACAAAGGCCAGCCACGTGACACTCCTCACTAGCGCCTGCCAGCACCATCCTTAAGCATGAGCCACAGACCCTTAGTGATCTGCCAGCCTCTCTCCACTCATACTTTCAATTCCAGTAATGTCACCCTGTCCGTCCACTCAGGACAACTCTGCTGTCTACAGAGGTAGCCCTTTCCTTGTCTCTCCATTGCCAATTCTTACTCAGACTTCCAGGGTCACAACAGGGATGATTTCCCCAGAGAGACTTCCTTGGTGGGCCAGTGCCCCACCTCTCCCACAGGCTCCCAGTCTTCTACCCTCCCTTTGTCCTAAGGGATTTACCATATCTATTCCATCACAAACGACCTTCCAAAGAACAGTGGCCTGCCGGGTCTTATTTACCCTCATATCCTGAGACCAGGGCTGCAGGTATAATTTGACTGCTCAGTGGATGTATCTTAAACTGAAATACACTGGAGTCGCAACCACAGAGTTAGGAGTCCTTCTCATTAAAGTGTGTAGAGCAGGAGGGAAAGAGGCAATCACCCGTGCTGAGCTCTTCAGATCTGTTAGACACTGGGCCAGGCCTTTTCTGGATATTTTCTAACTTAATCTTATCTAATCCTCTTAACAATTCGAGGGCAATAGGTTTAGTAACCTAATTTATAGATGAGGAAACCAAGCTCCCTGCTACACAGTGAGTGGTTTTGATTTTGTTACAGTTAAGTGACTTAAGGGTGAGTTCATCCTGAACATTTTACAGCAAGTTCAGAAGTTGAAGTGACTCTGAGATCACAGACCTGCCAGTGGGTGAGATCACAGACCAACAATCCTCCTCCCCCACCCTCCAGGCAAGGATCCTCCCATCTCTGACCAAAATCTGCTTTCTCTGTCCAGCCAGCCCAACCCAGGGCCCTGGTTAACAGCTCTAGCTTGAGGGCACAGGGACCTCACTGATCAGGAGTCCTCCCCACCAGAGCTGAGGTCGTGGTGACAATGACAGCAGCAGCCGTGGCCCAAATCTCTGCTTCAGCTCAGGAAGTCCTCCACAATATTACTGGGATCCTGGCGCCCAGCGTTAAGTGGACAATGGGGAAGGCAGGCTGCAGACTGACTTAGAGCCTTCTAGAACTCCTAGCTTTGTGAGCTCAACTTCTGGAACCTGTTCCACAGTCTGAGCTCTGAGCACCCCACCTGAGTCCCTCAATTTCAAGGTTCAAGGGCGTGTCAGGGGTATGTAATGCCAACCTTTCTTGCCTAGTGTTGCTTGCGTGTGTGCGCACACATGTGCACGCACACACGCACAATACCTTACTTTGAGGGAAGACTCTACCCTCCCAACAGATACAGGCATGATGGCAGGTGCCCACTGCCTCCAAGCTGTCCATCTCACCATTGAACTCTTTTGCCTGGCAAAAAGCTCTTTCTCCATCTGATTGGTGACTGTTCAGTGTGGCTGCACAGGCCAGAGTCCCAGTTATGCTATGGACCCTAAAACTTGCGGGATAGGGAAATGAATGAAAAAGATTTGTGGTACCTAGCTCTGAGCCCACCTCCAGGAGGCCCCCTGATTGGAAGCCACGCAACTCAGCAGCTAGACCATGGGCTTTGGGGTCAGGCTGTCCTGTGCAAGAAGCAGGCGCTAGTGAATACCAGCTGGGTGGCCCAGAGAAAGTGTCTTAACATCTCTGTGTCCTAATTCCCAAAGGGGAGATGACAATATCTACCTCAGTGTGTATTAAGCGAGTTCAAGAAAGCATCTATAAAGTGCTTAGTCCTCAGGGATGGGGAATCAATAAATAGCAGCAATTACTACTAAAAGTAAAGCATAGCACAGCCACAAAGATGTTTAGTTGCAGCCTGTCTGCCTGACCGAACCCAGGCCAACCAAGTCAGAAATGATGTGTGTGTATGTGTGTGTATATATATCTCAAAATAAATACAGTGGTCAAGTTTCAGTGATGATTTTTTTAATGTGATAAGAACACTTAACAAGAAATCTGCCCTCTTCACAGATTTCTAAGTGCACAATACCTGATTATTGATGATAAGTACACCGTTGTGCGGCAGAGCTCTAAGCTCATTTATCTTGCTTGACTAAATCTTCATGTTCCTTAATTGGTCATTCCCACGGCCCCCTCCCTTGGCCCCTGTAATCACCATGCCACTCTTAGATCACAAGGCCCATAGGAGTTTGACTACTCTAGTTACCTTGTAAGTGGAATCATTTCTCTTTCTGCGACTGATTTATTTCCTTTAACACAATCTCCACCAGGCATCCCACTGCCGGGATGCACCATGTTTGCTTTACTCAGTCTTTTGTGGATGGATGTGTGGGCTGTTTCTATATCTCGGCCACTGTAGACAATGCTGCAATGAACTTGGAGTGTAGATATCTCTCCGAAATCATGATTTCTGTTCTTTTGGATAAATACCCACAAGTGGTGTAGCTGGGTCATATGGTAATTCTTTTTTTCTAATTTTTAAAGGAATATCCATATTGTTTTCCAAAGCAGCCACATTATCTTGCATTCATACCAACAGCACTCAAGGATTCTAATGTTTCCTCATGCTTACCAATGTTGATGGCCTTTTGTTTTTCAATAAAAGCCATTCTTACAGGTGTCAGGTGAGGTTTCATGATGGTTTTGCTGTGCGCTCCCTTGGTGACCAGTAGCACTGAGCATTTTTATCAGATACCTGTTGACCATTTGCATATTTTCTTTGAAAAAAAAAAATGTCTAACTGGCATCAGTATTTCTTTTTTTTTTTTGGTTTTTTGGTTTTTTGGTTTTTTCTCTGGTACCGGGAACCGAACTCACGACCTTGCGCTTGCCAAGCAGGCGCTTTTGCCGCTGAGCTAAATCCCCAGCCCCTGGCATCAGTATTTCTTAAAAGCTCCCCAGAGCTAGGTACGGTGGAGCACATCTATAATCCCAGCACCAGGGAGGCTGAGCCAGGAGGATCACCACAAGTTTGAGGCCATACAGTAAATTCAAGGCCAGGCTGCACTACAAAGTGAGACAAAAAAAACCACACTCTCCAGATAATTCCAATGTACATTCAGGCTTGAGTGTTTATTCAAGGGAAAGTGCTCAGGATTTAACAGATTTTGCCCCCGCATGGCTATGTAGTCTTAACAAATTAATCTCCATTCCCTCACCATTAAAGTGGAGCCATTACCCTCCCTTGCCCACTGTAAACTTGACCCTGTACTCCAACTTCCCAAGCCTTATTTTCTCCTCTCTCCCTCCTGGGGTGGTGGTGACACTCAGATTTCTCAGTGCATGAGGGTGCCTCCACCAGCATTGGTGCATTTAGCTATTGTTTTTATTGTGTGGCCCTTAGTGGTGATTCTGTCTGGTTGAGTTCTTTGGGGTTTTACTGCATTGGCCTGCTTTTACTATTTTATCACTTCTTTTTATTGAGTAATCTTTCAGCTTATTTTATTTTATTGTATGTTTTGTTATTTCCCAGTTGACTTTCCCTTTTAAATGGGAAAAAGGAAACAACAGCTCAAAAAGAACAGTTATGAGGGCAGACAAGGCCCCAGTGAGGGCTTCGGGTCTTTATTTCTCTGCTGAGCTCCACACACGTCTTACCTGCTAGCTTCCTAGCAGAGATCCTCCACTGGCTGCCTCGGAGTTCACACCCTCCAGCAGCCTTTTTACCTTCCTGGTCCTCAGGCCCAGTGGGAATTTATAAATAAAATTGACTCCCAGGCCCCAACCCAGGCCAATGGCGTCCAAATCACTGGGAGTACAGTTCAACCATCAGTATTTTTATTAATGCCCCCCCATTCCAAAGTGCTCCTGTACTGAGAACCACTGTTCCAACCAAACTTCTTATAGTTTTGTAAGTGTGTGTCTTGTATAGCATTGTATATGTCAAACTCACTCTATCCATCCCAACTCCCTGGCTAGCTTCTAGTCCTCCTTCAAGCTTGGATTCTTCTCTAGGACTCCTTGGGCTGACCTAGGGGTCTCCAGCACTCTTGCACAAACTCCTGTGCTAGTTTATAACCTCAGCATCAGTCACACTCTACCAGTATCTTTTTCTTCACAATCATTCCCATCAGATTAGCAGATGCTTGATATATAGCTCATGACTCCAGTGTGGAGAACAAAAATCAAAAATTGTTGGGTGAATAAAAATATGAAGAGATTGTTGTGGTTTGTGTCTAGGTAACCCCCATCTGAGCCTCATGCAGTTTTAGATGGGGCTTTTTCAGAGGTGGCTGAATCTAGATCGTGTGATTGATTCATGGTGCAGTGCCAGGATTAAGGGATCATCCTTGCTGGATTAAGGATGATTGCAGGATCAGTCCACTGATTGGATTGGAACTACCCTAATCCCGATAGACTGGATACACTGTAAGGGATAAAAGTGGCTTGTCTTCCCCTTCCCCTGTTTGTTTTTGCTGTCTTCTGCCACTGTGAACTGTTTCATTTCTGAGATGCCCCTCTGATAGTCAGCGGTTCTTGGAGCCAGCCGATTATGGACTACAACCTCTACAAACTGTAAGCTAAATAAACCTTTCCCCCTTTAACTTTGGGTGTTGAGTATTTTGTCTCAGCAATGAGAGAAGAGTAACTAAGAGAGAGATGAGTAAAAATCACCTAGTCAGTTGGTACAGAAGAAACTTAGCCCAGGGGACTCAGTCAGGAGAACACAGAGGCTGACCCCAAACAGTGTGGCAGAATCCCCATAGACAATGGAAAAACGCACCCTCGTCTGGCTATAGGAAGGGAAAGCCTAGACCTCCAAGATAAAGACCCTCAGTCAAGCCCTCCAAATTTAGTGCACTGAGAATAGAATGGACTTCTTCTCCATGAGTTGTTCTTGTTCTTTTCAGTGGTCTGAATGTGTGCCTGTAATCATGACACTACTGCCAGGACTACAGTATATTTAAAAAGTGACTGGGCCGGGGATATAGCTCAGGGCACAGCACCTGCCTGGCAAGTGCAAGGTCATGAGTTTGATTCTCAGTACCAAAAAAAAAAAGTGACTTATCCAACTGGGCATGGTTGCGCACACCTATCATCCCAGTACTCTGGGAGGCTGAGGCTGGAGGATTACAAGTTTGAGTCCAGCTTAGGCAATTTAGGGAGGACTAAAAATAAAAAATATTATAAAAAGGTGGGGGATATAGCTCAGTGTGAAGGCCCTGGTTTCAATCCCCATAGAAAGAATGAAAAAAAAAAGAACAAAAGAAAGGAAGGAAGGAAGCAAGGAAGAAAGAAAATCTAGCTTAACATGACTACAGCCGTCTTAGCTGTGACCACCATTTGCCTAGCAGGTAACCCTGACATGCATCACAAACTCTAAAGGACAAAGTCATTAAGACAGCTGTTGTGCCAACCACTGGTGCCTGGACTATTTCTGAAGTGACTCTGGACAAGTTAATAGTTCTTGAGAAAGGCCTCACACATTGTTACCTGCTACCCACTATTGCGTTAGCTTACTATGTAAATGCCTTCCTTGGGTGGGCTCTCTGGGTGCAGGGCTCCTCCTGTCTCATTGCCACCCAAGACACACTGCCATCTGTGAACCCTAATAAGTCACACTTGGTGCAGTCCTCGATCTGCCTGCTTCTTTCCTCTGTCTCAATACACCTCAGTGCACCATTTGCCTTCTGCTAGTTCTTTTCTTCTCAGGTTGGGCCTCCTCAATATTCTAGTTTCCCCGTGATGGTTAATTTTATGTGTCTACTCAACTGGGCCACAGGACAGTTGGTCATACAGTGGTCTGAGTGTTTCTGGGGGAGTGTTTTGGACGAGAGTGACATTCAGATCAGTGAAATAAGTAAAGCAGATTATCCTCCAAAGGCTGACTCTCCTCTGAGTAGAAGCGAATTTCTCTTGCCTGACTGCCTTCCAACTGACATATTGGCTTTTTTTCCTGCTTTTGGACACAAATTGAATATCAGACCTTTTTGGATGTACCTGCCAGCTTTCAGACAGGAACTACACCATAGGCCCTCTGGTTCTCAGGCTTTCCGACTCAGTGGAACTAAGCCACCAACTCTCCTGGGTCTTCAGCTGGCCAACTCACCCTGCAGCTCTATAATAAATCAATCAATCTCTCTCTCTCTGTCTCTGCCTCTAATCCTAGATGTATGTATGGATAG